TAAGCAAATGCCCACATGGTTGGAAAGTCAAGGGAGTCAAAGGAAAAGTAAGAGGAAAGCTTGAGGTGCAAGGTAGTGAACTTACCTATTGTCATTGCTTGATGTTGTATGCTTGTGTGTTGCCGTGTACATGTTATTGAATGTTATTGTGACATGTTTTAGCTGCTGTAATTGCTATTCATGATGAGTAGATTATGTCTCCATGGCCATTCATCAAGAAGTTAGCTTTGAGCATGCTAATATGTCACTAATTAACAAGAGAATAAACAAGTTGCGTGTAGTGCATTAGCATCCATCTAGCATGATTAATATGGTATTATTTGCTATTGAGATTCCCCCAAATCTCACCCCCCCTAACCAACCATATAGTTCAATCATCAATGGGCAATAATAGCATGAGAAGCAAGGAAAAGAAAGTAGAGAATTATTGATGTCAATGAATGATATTATTATTCATTGTGTAATTCTCTTATTATGTAATTTATGTTATGGATGCATATGATGCCATGTAATTAATTATATTGCTTATGGCATATATAGAAATGTATGAGCATGAATGGGAAAGAGAAAGCCCATGTTATGTATGCCAAAGAAATAAAAAGAATTAAAGTAAAGAGATGTTAAGGGATAAAACGTAGGGCCTGGAGTAGTGATTTTGTAGCTCCAGTTTGACCTATCAAAAGAATGACTTAAGTCACAAGATTTGGCAGACTCATAGTACACATCCCAAGCTTTAAACTGAGAGGTAGATCATCTCAATTGGATGTGTACACAAAGAGATACAAATTTCCAAAGTTGAGCTACAGAATCTGGAAGTTCCAAATTTTACGAAATGAACAGTAATATTTATTGATTTAACTGTACGAATTGGGCAAGGATAAGTCTGATTGGATATTTTTTCCTTAAAGACCATTGAAATGGATTTCTGTAGAATTTTAGAATACCCTAATACAATTTTTTATGGAATTAATTATGAATTTTTGAAGTTGGGCCTGTAATCTGGAAATTTAAATGTGAATAGTAACCCAAGTAATTATGTTGAAATTTTTAAATCCGTGGGCTTGTGTTATGATCTGCTTGAACCATAATGCTTATGAATACGTGCTCTGAGGGGTTAAGGGTAGGACGTTTCAATTCAAGTGAGTGCCAATATGTCATCCTTATTCAAAGCTGGACTACTGGTAAAGTGTCAAGATCCTGGTTCTTACACCATCCCCTGCACCATAGGAAAGGTTCATATTAAGGGAGCGTTAATAGATTTAGGAGCTGCTATAAACGTCATGTCTTGGTCAGTTTATTTAGCTTTAGGAATTAATGGAATCAAAGACAAAAGTGTAGTACTCTAACTACCATATAGGTCTATTAGGTATCCCAAAGGAATCATAGAAGACATTTTAATTCAAGTCAAAGATTTAGTGTTCCCTGCTAATTTCTATGTTTTGGACATATCAAATGAACTTGTAAATGAAAGCACTTTAATTTTGGGAAGACCTTTCCTGCAAACTTCCAAGACTATCATAAGCATGAAAACAGCTATATAACAATGGAAGTAGGGGATCATGTTGTGACTTTTAATATGAATGAAGCCATGTGTTACCTCTTTGATAATTCTACATTCATGGGTTTAGATGCCATTGATTTAGCTATTGAACAAGCCAGGGATGAACATGAGCTGCATATGCATGATAGTTATGACATGTGTTCACCTAAATTGATTGATTCTTCTGCTACACCATCACATGAATCTTATGAGCTTGACTCATCTTTGAGTGCTTATGATGAATACATCAATTCCCTCTCTTCTATTTATTCATTTTCTAGTTCTTGTGGAGATAAGGTGCCATGCATTAATTCCCTGGAAATTGATAGCATGCTTTCTATTTCTTAAGACTTTTCTTGGCCATCAAGTTTTGATTCCATTTCTGTGTTTACAACTGATGATGGCCTTGAAAAGGGTTTGTTAGCTAATGATGCAGGTATTCAAGATATGGTCAGTACTGAGAGTGGAGCAAAATCCAAGGATATGAGCCTCTGTGACATGAGGTCACGACCTGAGGATTCTCAAGTCATGACTTCAACCCAAGCATTCCAAGAGGGTGGCCTCCGTGAAGTGAGGTCACAACCTAGAGATATGAGGTCATGACCTGAGTGCCCTGTTTCATCTCCTAAACTCCAGACTTCAATCACTTCACCACCTTATGTCCTGAAAACTTTGGTTGAAGGGCAAACACTCTCTGACTTAATTGCTACTCAAACATGTTCCAAGATTACAACCCATACCTTATGATTTTTGAATGTTCTAATCTCTAATAATGATGTAGGTATGGAGGCAAACCAACCTAAGGTTGTTGCTGCTATAAACCAACTTGAGCTTGGTGCAATATCTGATAGGATTGAAGCAAGCATAGTGGATCCAAGTGAAGCTGGCGAGTGTGTTTCACAAGAGTCTACAAAGGGGAGTTTCTCTAACTCTTCTGATGTTTCTACTCTAATTCCCTCTATCGTTCAACCCCTAACTTTAGAACTGAAAGATTTACCTCCCAACCTTAAATATGCTTATCTTGAGCCTGAAAATAAACTGCCTGTCATTATTTCTAGTTCTTTAACTGAATATGAAGAGACTAGTTTAATGGGAGTACTTAGAAGAAATAGGGAGGCTTTAGGTTGGCAATTAGCTAATATTAAGGGAATTGACTCTACTATGTGTACCCATAGAATTCTACTAACTAAAGATTCCAAGCCAGTTAAACAAAGCCAGAAGAGGTTGAATCCTCTAATTTCTAATATGGTTAGGAAAGAAGTAGACAAACTCCTGAGAGCTGGAATCATATGTGCTATTTCTGATAGTGAATGGGTCTCACCAGTACAAGTTGTGCCGAAGAAGAGTGGGATCCCAGTAGTTAAAAATGAGAACAATGAACTTATCCTAACTAGGGTACAAAACTCATGGAGAGTTTGTATTGACTATAGGAAGCTGAATGATTCCACTAGAAAGACCATTTGCCCTTACCCTTTATTGATCAAATGCTTCAACGGTTAGCAAGGAAGAGTCACTACTGTTTCTTAGATGGATATTCTGGATATTTCCAAATTTCTATAGACCCTAGAGACCAAGACAAGACCACTTTCACTTGTCTATTTGGAACCTATGCTTACAAAAGAATGCCTTTTGGTCTTTGCAATGCCCTTGTACATTCTAATGCTATATGCTATCTATTTTTGCTGAATTTATTGAAAAATGCATGGATGTGTTCATGGATGATTTTACTATATATAGGAATTCTTTTGAAGAATGCTTGAAAAGTCTTGACCAAATCTTAGCATGATACATTGAGAAGAAGCTGGTTTTGAATTATGAAAAATGCCATTTCATGGTTAACCAAGGCATCGTGCTGGGTCATTTAATCTTTGAAAAAGGAATTGAGGTAGATAAAGCCAAGATAGAGGTGATATCTTCTTTGTCCTACCCTACTAACTTGAAAGAGTTGAGGTCTTTTTTAGGATATGTAGGGTTCTATAGAAGGTTCATCAAGGATTTTAGTAAAATTACTCTACCTCTTTCCAAATTGTTGTAAAAAGATGTTGATTTTCAATTTGACCATGCATGTAAGATTGCTTTTGATAAATTGAGGAATAGGTTAGTTACTCCTCCTATTTTGACCTCTCCCAACCGCGATTTGCCTTTTGAAATTTCTTGTGATGCTTCAAGTTTGAGTGTAGGGGCAATGTTGGGTTAAAGGGAGAATTCTGTTTCTAAAGTGATTGCTTGTGCCCCTAAAACTCTAGATGCAACTTAGAAAAAGCTATACCACTACTGAGAAGGAATTGTTTGCAATTGTTTTTACACTTGATAAATTCAGACCATACCTAATAAATTCCAAAGTGATTGTGTTTACAGATCACGCAGCAATGAAATATCTCTTCCACAAACCTTAATAGAAGCCAAGGCTCTTGAGGTGGATATTTTTGCTTTAAGAATTTGATATGGAAGTGAAAGATAGAGCTAGAAATATCAACCATGTGGCAGACCATCTGAGTAAGCTACCTTTAGAAACCAAGGGAGTACTCAATTCTAATGCTATCTGTGATTCATTCCCTACCAATCTCTATATGCATTGTCTATTTCTCAACCATGGTTTGCTCACTTAGTTAACTACATTGCTACTGGTCTAATCCCTTCTCACTTGACCACTTTTTGGGCTCAAAAGCTTAGGAGTGAAGCTTCCTATTATATTGGGGATCCACTGCAGTTATGGAGATTATGTTCTGACCAAGTGATTAGACGGTGCATTCCAGAAGTAGAGGCTTTAGCCATTCTAAAAGCTTGCCATGATAACTTATGTGGGGGGTACTTTAGTACTAGAAAAATAGCTAGGAAGGTTTTAGATGTAGGACTTTACCAGTCCACCTTATTTAGAGACGTATTCACTTTTTGTAAGGCATGTGATAAATGCCAACGGTTTGGGAGGGTTAGTAGAAGGAATGAAATGCCACAGTAACCTATCTTATTTTTTAAGATCTTCAACGCTTAGGGGATAGACTTTATGGGACCCTTCCCACCTTTCCACGATTACACCTATATCCTCCTAACTGTAGATTACCTCTCTAGGTAGGTAGAAGCCATTCCCACACATAAAGATGATTCGCCTACGGTTTCTAAATTTCTGAAGTCCACCATCTTTAGCAGATTTGGAGTACCTAAGGTATTAATCAGTGATCAGGAAACCCACTTTTACAACAAGTTGCTCACTAACTTGTTAGCAAAGTATGAGGTTTCCCACAGAGTGTCCACCCCTTATCATCCTCAAACCAATGGCCTGGCTAAAGTATCAAATAGAGAGGTTAAATGCATCCTGGAACAGATTGTCAAGCCCTCAAATAGAGACTGGAGCCTGAGACTAGACGATGCACTGTAGGCCTACCACACCTCCTACAAGACCCCAATTGATATGTCTCTGTATCAGATCATCTATGGTAAGTCCTGTCACGTTCCGATACAGATGGAGCATCAATCATACTGGGCAGTTAAGAGCTGCAATTTCAATTTGGAGGAAGCTAGCCTAAACCGACTCCTTCAAATTCAAGAACTTGAAGAAATGCGGTTAGACACCTACAATAGCTCAGACATCTACAAGCAGAAAACTAAGCTTGTCCATGATGCCAACATCTTGAGAAAGAAGTTCAAGGAGGGTGATAAGGTGTTGCGGTATCAAGCTCAATTCAAATTCAAGAAGGGTAAGTTTAAGACGAGCTGGGATACACCCCACATTGTGACGAAAGTGTATAACTTTAGGATGATAGAGCTCAAGAGGAGGGGCTACAAGAAAATGTTTCAATGCAATGGTCATCTCCTCAAGCTCTACGAAGAACCCACACTGTAACGTCTTGAGTTTTATCGGGTTTTAATAGCCTTTTTGGTTGATTTTGAGGATAGATTAGCGATTTAATCTTGATCTTGGTGTTTGGGTTGGATTTGAGGTATGTTGAGGAATAAGTGAACAGACCCTTCTCAGGGTATGTTCACCGCGGCGAAGTTTTACTTCACTGCGGCGCACCAGGTGTTCTAGGGGAAAGTATCCTTTCGAGAATGTTTCGCCGTAGTGAAGGTGAGGGCATGCCGCGGTGAAGTTTTTCTAGGCGAGTGAGAGTTTCCTTTCGGAAGCTTTCGCTGCGGCAAAGTCAGGTTTTCAGGCGAGTAATCCCTCTCGAGATTAGTTCGCCGCGGCAAAAGGTCGCAATCTATATAATCGTTGGAGGGTTCAGTTGTGCGAAAATTAGAAAATCTGAAGGTAGAGAGAGGCTCTGTTAGGGGTTTTGGTGTTTTGGCTTGGAGGGGGCATTTCTAAGGATCCATTACCTCAAGTAAGTGATTTTAACCTCTAATCTACTTTCTTTCTTGAATTTCTGAAGATCTATGGTGAAACCCTAGAGTTTTCTAGGTTGTTATGGAATTGAGGTTTTTGACCGATTGTTATGAGTTTAATTGCTTGCTTTGGGTTAGTCTAAGTATTTAATCGATGTAGTTTTCTTAGATTTGAGAACCTTGAGTTTTTGAAGCTAGGGTTTATGAGATTGGGAGGTATGTGATTGAGGATGACAATGTGGAGATTGATTTTGAGTTTTGTGATTTGGGTATGTTAAGGAGGGTTAAATTGGATGTTTAATCGGTTTAGAATGTTGTTAAGACTCTAATTGTTCAAATGGGATGTTTGGGTGTTGAATCCTATATGGGTCCTTGAGGTTATGAATTTTAATTGATGTTTGGAAAGGAATTAAGGTTTTAATGGATTTGTATGACCATGGAGTATTGCCTTGATAGTTATACCCTTTGAGTTGGGTAGAGTTTTGATGGGAGATAGGAATTTTGTGTCCCCAAATGTTGTTTTGGCCACATTATTAGTTTGAAAGCTAATACATAATGGTTGTGTGTTTGTGTGCTTGTGTAGACTGGTTGTGAGCCTTGTTGGTGCACGGGGCTGTATTGTCGGTTTGTTATTCCTTGCTCAGGCGAGAGGTAACCACTTTCCAATCCTTAGTACATGCTTCTGTGGTATTGTGAGTAGATTTATGTTTTGTGCTCCGAGTAACAATTATGTTCAAAGTGTATGTTATATATAGAAAGGAAAACCGTCTTGAGGGGTTCGATTGATGATGAATGAATCTTGGAATTGTGAAAGTTATGCCACTAAAGAAGTTACTTATGAAATGTTCAATTACTATTTGATTATGGTTTGAGCATGATGCATGAATTGGGAATTGTGTGAGAGTTTTTGATAGTTACTACCACGTGGTTAGGCCTCCATTAATGCATGATGGTTGGCTCAGTATGTCCCCCATAGTGAGGGATAGGCCTTTTGGCTCCATACGTCCCCCAGAGTGAGGGATAGGCCTTTTATGGCTCCTTACGTCCCCCATAGTGAGGGATAGGCCGGGTTTGGCTCTTGAAAATCCCCCAAAGTGAGGGATATGGTTGATGGGATTGCATCAGTGCACTCTTGCATGATTTATTGTGGCTATCATTTATAAAATGACTTGTGAACTACCCCACTTGACACCTCACGAGCACCTATTTAGTAGTACCTTGAATTGAAAGGTTGGTTACTGGGACGTTTGTCTCACCCGCGTGGTTTACAATGTTTTCAGGTGAAGGTTCTGGGCGTGTGCC